TTCTTTTTTTTTTTTTTTTTTGGTTTTTTGAGACAGGGTTTCTCTGTGTAGCCCTGGCTGTCCTGGAACTCACTCTGTAGACCAGGCTGGCCTCAAACTCAGAAATCCTCCTGCCTCTGCCTCCCAAGTGCTGGGATTAAAGGCGTGTGCTACCACCGCCCGGCTCATCACTTTTCATAAACCATATCTCCAGTAAATCCTACTACAGGTATCTTGATCATATCTACATGTGGTGAGTAATTACTTGAATTACAGAAATAATCCATGTCACTAATCCCTTTACAATCAAACTCAAAACACAGCAGCAACACTGATAGCTGCTTTTCATTTACTGCCAAACAGGTTGAAACTAAAGGAGCCCAGTATAGACAGCCCTGTTCACATGAGTCCCCATGGAACAGTAACAAGATTGCCTTCTCTATTCCACGTGGTGACTAATCTAGAAGGAAAGTTTTCCTTGATTGTAAATTTGTTCTAAGCCTGCTTTCTTTTTCTAGTGCAATTAGGCTGCGATACATGAAGGTTTTCAGAAGTCTTATTTGCAGCTTTTATACTATTGAGGACTTGAAATTATGTGTATAAATTTAGGAATTCTTTAAAATTATTAGAAGTTATGAGATTATAATTTGTCTATACAGGATTACTACATGAGAGCACATCTTCATGTTTATCTTCAGAAAATCTACCCAACAATAGGGTGGGCTAATGCTCAGGAATCAATAGGCTATGTAATAATGATAAGAAAAGGCATATCAACAGCAAAAAGCAGTCCTGAGATGAAGTCTCTTGGGATTTTGCCTTGCAGAGCTCACCCATCAATGGCTATGCAAAATGGTGGGCTACCTCCAGAAAATTCACTTGCATGTCTTTAGCCATTCCAAGATAGCTTCTGACAGTCCCAGTTGTCAAAAAGAAACTGTTGGATAGCAATGTGTTACCTAGAAAGTAACTTTGGCAACAGGCTCTCCCTTTTCACTTAAAAAGGGTAGCTCTTCTTCCTTACTCTCTAAACAGTGGGATTCTCATTCTGCCATTTCCACACACAGACATAATGTATCTTGGTCTTACCTGCCTCTCACACTGCCCTTTTTGCTTCATTTTATGTCTTCTTCAAAAACTAGACACCATCAAACACATGAGGCATTTGCCTTTCTGAGTTGGAATTTTCCTGAGTGTGTGTGTGTGTTTTTTTTTAATCTCCAGAGACAGAGCCTTGAGTAGCCGTGGCTGTTCTGGATTTCTCTCTGTAGACCAGGCTGGCCTCAAACTCAGAGATCTGCTTGTCTCTGTTTACCCAGTGAAGTGCTGAGATTAAAGGCGTGAACTGCCACTGCCTGGCTTGGAATTTTTATGTTTAACCAGATGATTTTCACTCAGCTTCAACTATTTTGGTGCAAATAAGATAATTTTGCTCTTCCTTATGCCTAAATAAAACTCTATCATATATCATATCGTACACACACACACACACACACACACACACACACACACAATTATCCACTTATTCACGTAAGCTAATTCTGTATTTTGGTCATTTTGAAAAGTATCTTTAAAAACCATGGGTGTATAGATATTTTTACTGTACTGACTTTGATTCTTTTGCATACAGACCCAGGAGTAGCATAGCTGAACCAAAAGGAAGTTTTATTTTTTAAGTGTTCTGAAGTTACTCATGATGGTTTCCATACTGGCTGAAGTACTTTACATTTCCACCAGCACTGCAGAAGGGTTCCACCACCTCCCTTCCTCAACAACATGTTTTATTGATCTCAGCCATCTTATTGGTGTAAAACCGAATTTTTAACTTTGGTTGGCATTTCCTTGATTGTTATAAACAATGAACATTTTTATATTCTTATTGATCATTCTAGAACTGTTTAATTTTTTTCATTTATGGTTGGATGGTTTATTATTTATTCTTCCTATTTCCTTTGCCATGCTAAGAACCTAAAGCTAGCCATCAAAGTCTATTCCCTTTTTTGGCTACTTTCTCCTCCTGAGGCTATCTACTAAAGTCTAGCTGTCAAAGTGTTGAAGTCTAGCAGTCAAAAGCCTTCTTTGGCTCACCTAATTAACAAGCCCAAATCTGAGGTGTCATCCTAACACAGGGTTTGTCCTTTTACCTTTATAAACCAATATTTTCCTATGGGCCACATCTGTCTCCTTTCTATCCAGAGGCAGTCCTTTGTCCTCTTCCAGGGACAAATATCCATCCTCCCTCTCCCTCGTTTCCTTTCTCTTTTCTCTCATCCTCTATCTCCTGCCCTTGTCTCTTATTTCCTGCCCTTTGTCTCTCTGGGGCAAATGCATGTACTTTGTGCTATGTTATAGGATATTTGAACATGTTTCTCATTAGGGTATGGCTCAACCTTTAGCATACACCTTTAATACCTCTGGCTGGCATACACACACCCTTAGTACTCACAAACAATGAAGGTGAAGTTAGTTTGTAGAAGGAAGCACCCATGTTTGAAGGTGATGTCTAATTGAGTGGCAGAAAAAAGTGACGAATCAGAGAAAGATTTGACAGAATAGGATATGCCCTGGTCTCAGGAGAAGAGAGAAGAAATGGAAGCTACTTAAGGGAGAGACAAGACATTTACAGGAGGAAGAGAGTACAGCATAGGAATACAGTAGAGTCAGGAGTATAAGACAGTAGAGCTGAGAGGAAGAGTAGAGCAGCACAGAGAGGCAGCAGGCAAGAGAGAACAAGCTAGACACAGGTAAAGACAGAATGAGTAAAAGAATGAGAGGTTTAGAAAAGATTGCTAGTTAGTTTGAAACCAAGCAGAGCAATTCAGGGGTAGAGAGAAAAGCCAGATTGAATCAGTCACCTGGGAGAGGAGTTTGGGTCAGAACAGCTAAGTTGAATCAGCCAGTCAGAGTTCAGAAAGAACAAGAAAGGATGAGCTTATTCAGAAGTAAGTCTCAGAGGCTGAAAACATTCTTGGCCTGGTTTAGATTGTATAGAGGCTAGAAGCTTCCAGGACTAGGCCTAGGTTAGCAGACAGAGGCAGTACGCCTCCCAGACAACAATTACAACAGGAGAATAAACATTACTTTTCCAGTGCTGAGAACTTGGTTTGGGGGTTTCTTGAGCCTATAGCAATCCTTTCACAAAGTTCTCTTCTTCCACTTTTATGTGGATTCAGGGACTGAACTCAAGTGATTGTGGGAAAACTTTGCTAATTAAAGTTGAAGTCCACTGTGCCCCAGTGGCCTTGAGCTTGGTGCAAAATGGGAGACTAAAATCTGGAGTTCTCCATGCTAATAAGGTATCTAGACAGGTCCTTAGGGTTTAGCCAATGAGCTTCCCTTCCTGGACATTCCCTCCCACAAAAGGTATTTAATCCCTGGTTCACCCTGAGTAAAATGTATGTGTTCACATTCCCTATCAAATAAAGGAGTTTGAACAAGCAAGGACTGTCTCTTCAGCAAGGATTGCTGGGTATCGGGTAGGGGTAGGGGCTTTGTCATAAAGAGCAATGCCTAAATCTCCAGGAGAAGGCCTTTTTCCAGCCCCTCTGTACTCCCAACACTCACTAGCAACCAAACTGGTTCCACACCCAGGGGTACACCAGCAGTACCAAAGTATGAATGCGTTGGTCCTTTCTGGAAGGAGTATCAAAAGTTTCAACCAGAGCTCCCAAAGTCTAAACCACCAGCCAGAGAGCACAAAGGGAGGGACTCACGCACCTGTATAGGGAATTGAGGGTGACCTTGTTAGACTTCAGTGAAAGTGGAGGGCCATGGTCCCCGAAAGTTTGGATCCCCTACTGTGTGGGAATTCGAGAGCAGGGAGGTGGGACTGGGAGGATGTTTGGAGCACACCGTCACAAAAATTAGGAGGAGGGGGTATGGGATAAGGGGTTTTGGGGGAGAATGAGAAAGGAGATAACATTGAAAGGTAAATACATATAATATCCAATAAAAAACCCACACAGATAAAGGGTCTAAAAAAAAAAAGAGAGAGAGATGGAGAGAGCTTACTTATTTTAAATTAATTTCAAAAGTTTCTAGGAGTTGCTAATTGGCTAAGATCCTATTTTAAGCTCTCCACAAAAGAATTTAAATCTCTGTTCAATATTCTCAAGAGAAAGGTAAACCCTAATTTCCTCAACAGTTAATTGACAAAAGAGAGGTAATCTCACAAAAAGTAGAAAAAGCTATCTCTAATCGGTATATTATATAGTCTGATTAATTGTCAGTGGTGCTATAAAAGTCCTTTGACAAAAGATTATTAATATAGATTTATATATCCTTAAATAAGGTCTTCATGACTCTCTGAGTGTGGAAGGAGTGACTGTTGGCGCTTCTGCCCTGATTTTACAAGAACTCTGAAAAATTGGCTTTAAAAACAAAAGAGGGGGAACGGTACCCCCTCAGAAGGAGTCCCCCTGAAATACTCTCCATCATGCCTTGTTCACTTTTATCTCTCTAAAGCTGAAGCTCATGGCAAATCTCTTGCTGACCATGTTGGTGACCTCTGGCACCACCAAGACCAACAAAACTTTTCCACAGATATGGGGAAGGACCCTCATACCCATAAAGGGAATGGCCCAGACCCAGTTCCCTTATGGAGCCGAGGACTGTTATGCCTGTCCAATACCACAGAAGGCACAGCTAACTGGCTACCAAAAAGATTAATGAAAAAAATAGATAGCCCCACAAAGCCAGGCCCAACCATAAATACGATGAATAACAATTTACATCCAGGGAAGAGAAATCTCCCTGAGAATCCCCTTCTTTTTTCTTTCCAGGTAAAAATGAATCACCCGTGATGCCTGCTGTTAGAAGTTCTAATCCAGATGTGCCAGAAGCCAGGACCCTCGCCCTTACCCTCACCTCCTACCTTTCCCCACCTGCACAATGTCCTCTGAAGCTTGGCAACTGCAAGATCCTGCTTGGCAACTGCAAACTCAAAGACTCAAAGCAGAGTACCATGTCTTCTTAAGAATAGCAGGGAGACCATAACTCAAGGCAGTGTACCGTATAGACCATGACATGTTTCAAGGCAGAGGCCAAGAAGATTCTGTACTTTTCCACCACCTGGCCCCTCTTACCCCCTCCCCTTGTAAAACATGCTATAAAAAAGCATTTCATGTTCAAAAAAAATTTAAAAAAAAGATACAAGAAAAAAAAGAATATTTTTAAAAGTCTGTCTATAGCAATGCTGTTATGAAATATAATGGGGCAAGGAGGTACCTGTCAGGCCTATGGCAAGCTTTGCTTCTGAGTAATCATGCCATGCAGCAGATCTGGTGTGAAGGGGGCATATTTGGGGGAAGGGAAAGGATCTGGAGAAGGGGTAGAGGCAGCAAGTGAGCCTGAGGGGGCTCACCTCCTGAAGGGAGCTCACCTCCTGAAGGGAGCTCACCTCCTGAAGGGAGCTCACAGAGAGGGACAGAAAAGGGGAAAGAGAGACCACAGGAATGGGGGAAGGGGACATGGGAACACAAGGAGAGAGTTGGGGTGGCAGGCAGGTCCTTTTGTAGGCAGCCCCCTGGTGTAGCTCACTGCTGTAAGCTATAAACTAGGTCCCTGGGAGGAGCATAGGAGAATTGCCTGTAAACAAACAGAAGCAACTTTGACTTTCTTTGGACAAGGTCATATGTATTCTGGGTTTATCTTAAACTCACTGAATAATCGACGATGACCTTAAACTTCTGATCCTCCCATTTCCACCTCCCGGAACAGTGGGAACTCTAAGATAAGCATCAAAGAGAGGGCTTTGTGTGAGCTTGGAAAGGAAGCCCGTTAGCACAGATCTACATCCCCAGCGCAGCCAGTTTTGAAATGGGGTTGGTCCTAAGTCTCACTACACACCACGAACTTCAGAAGAAATCTCTCTTCTGAGGTCAACAGGAAAACATTTGTTGTACACCTAGTCTGAAAATCAGGCATGTCTTCTGTAATGCCATTACACTGAAATGTTATCGTGTGTTCTTTGAGCTCCCTGAGAAGCTGGCTCTGGAAGCAGAGTTGCCACCTTCCTCATTTAAGATCCAAAGAATTTTGTTTCAACGTACTCTCCAAAGCTCCTTGTCTGTGGTTGGGATGCACCCCATCCCTCAATTCTGACAAGGGAAGAAAGCAATAAAAACAAAAACAAAACAAAAATCCCCCCAAATCCCAAGACTGAAAACATCATGCCTTTGAGAACAGCTAGAGGTTGCAATAACATATGGGAGTCTGCCATGGGAAAGAGAAGTCAGAAGAAGTTCAGCCACAGAAACTGCCCCAGCTTCCCCTGCGACCTGCATGAATAGATTTTTCACATACTGTCCTGCTGTGTGAACTCTGCTCTCATAGAACTTTGTTTACTCCACTGGGAAGAACACTTCCATCTGCCAAGGAATGCCAAGGGCAAGATGCCCCCACCCCCAGCTGTGCAACTTGGTGTGCTCAAGAACATTATGTAAATAGTTCCCATTCAGTCAAGGTCTTCTGTCTCTTGAGCAAGTCTACTGACAGTGAGAAATACTCTGTATAGTTGTTGTTTCTCTCCCTGCTTTGAACTCTGAGCTATCCAGAATAAAGCTTCACAGAAGGCATAAGGCACTGGTGAGCAGCAGAGCCTAGAGCCCCCGGTTCTGTTGAGTCTTGAATTTGACCTCACTTCCTCAGAATCCATCACTGGTAGATCTTCGTATTCCCAGTTGGTTTCTGCTGGCTGTTGTTAAGCGTTGGGACCTAGGTGAAATATTAAGGCCTCAGTAACAGTTACCTGGCTAGTTTACCATTATAAAGAAACTTTCCCATATGTTTCTACTGTTACTAGGAAACTTTCTAATGCAAAGGTTGATTACATATTCTGTTATGTTGTGTGCCCTTGGCGATCAATCATGATAGAAGTTAGTAGAACTGTTTTGTAATTACCCACAATAAACTTGGACCTGAACCAACCACCCAACAGTACTTCCTGCACCTATGAATAAGATTTTATGACATTTGCCTTTATAAGATGCCCCTGGGATGGACTCCGACATAAGAGACACCTGCATCAATATAAGAAACAATTTGGAGTAAGACTTCCATTTTGAGTAGTAGTTGAATAATGTTTAAGTTCCCACGACCTCTCTGGGGCTGACATTCTACTTGGTAGAGAGAGACATGTACGTGGGTAATTGATATCCTGGTGGGCAAATTAAGACATGAATGTTAAACAAGGCAAGTCACCTGCTAGAGTTAAATATCCCAATCAATAGAAGCAGGATAAATGTATAGCAAAGACATGTTCCAAAGGAATGAAATCCCCCTATCCCTAATTCTTGATTGGTAAAATAACTTGGCACAGATGTTTGTCGATTTGGGGCTTAAAAGCCCTGTAAGATATTAACTTGGGGTCATGTTCAGTTCCTGAATCTGGACTGTGACCCTGGTTGACCAGTTCTGAAGGTATGCTCAATAAAGTATCTCTGTCTGACTGAGATCTGTGTTTGGTGTTCGAGTGATTTGTGGGGCGATTCCTGGACCTCAACAGTAAGCATCCGTTTTGATAACACCTTCTCTGTCTCCTGCTGTTAGTTCTAGTTGGAATCCTCACCCTAGGGTGTCAGTCACTCTCCTCTGCTCACATATATTAGGAACCTAGCTGACTGCCTCACCTTTCCCAAGTGCTGTTTGCTGAATGACTGTAAGCCTCCAGGATAATAGTGTTGGCTTTCTGTTGCTACTTGCCCTTTTCCTATAAGACTCACCTGAGTGGGCCCTGTTTTCTTCTCAGGACTCTCTCTATTGAGAACTCAGGCTGGTTGCTGTAAAGGTGCTCTCTCAGTCCATTTCTGGACATCTGAGTGCACAGTTTAATCATGTTTGTTGGCTGGCTGTCTCTCACTATTGATTCTTTTACCTTGACTTCTTACATATGTAATAAACTCACTCTTTCAAAAACCAAAAGTGTAGCTACACTGATCATTCCCTGGATCATACAAAACATCCTCATGGCTCACCTGCATGTAACAAAAAACAAACAACCTATGCTGCAGTCTAGGGGAGTCATTTACGACGGTATCTCAGCATGCCAAAAATGTCTGTTGAGGCTGTCAATCGCTTTCATGTTCTTTGGAGTCAAATCTAGAAAGACAGACAGAGTTACAAAGTGAATGGATGGATAGATAGATAGATAGATAGATAGATAGATAGATAGATAAGACAGACAAACCACTGAAATCAGCTTTTACCTGGAAATATAAAGAGGAGAGCAACAAGGGTGACTTTAAGGGCAGCATTTCTGTCACACTGACTTCCAGGTGGTTGGGTCTAAGAACTTTTGGCTGAGTATTGCTACCCCTTCCTTCCCCCTCCTTTCCTGCCCTGACTAACCAATGCCACAAAAGAAAGACTCATCCACCCCAAATCTTTCTAAATAAGGTAGGGAAAAACCCTCCCAAATTTGTTTTCAAATCTAGATTAAATACTAGATCTAGATTCATCAAAACCTATTGAACTTTTCTTTCTTCACCACTCCAGAGCTTGAGTCAGCTTTGAGTAGAACCCAGTCTCAGAGCATAGACTAACTCTTCTCTGAGAACGGATTGATTTGAAGAAAAATCATCCCTGACAAATGGCTTGTAGTTTCATCAAAAAGGTATTACCCAGGGTAGTTTATCCAGGATAATTTATCCCGGACAATTTGCTTTCTTCTGTTTCACCTTTAACATTCAAGTTTGAGTATTTTAACTCTAACATGAGATCTAAAGATTTCACGTTATCAAACCACTAACATTTTCTTTCTTAGGAATAATACTTCATCTTTCCTATAATAACTTTTAATTCCTACTCTAATTTACCTGAGTAACTATGTAATATGTGTCTCCTCTCCCACATTCAATATTAGTGTGAATATGTGTGATGCATTACATCAGTAATGAGAAACATGATCTAATCTTCCTCCCCCCTCTCTGAATTTCCATGATAACCAAATACCTTAGTCAAACACTTTCTAGTAGCCACTGTAATAGTGAAGATGGTAAAGACAGAAATTCCCTGTGACTGGCACTGTGGCCACTTCTGAGCCATGACATTGCTGTGCCTGGTCTCTGGCCCTCCCCACACAGCCTCCTTTGGCAGTCTGTAACCTGGTAAACATCTTGTGTGCAGACTTACTCCTGAAATGCAATGTGTAGATTCCATTGGCAGTACTTGAAGTTGTTTCAGCCATAAAAATAGTGTAAGAACTTCATTGTGAGGGAACTACCTAGGGTCCCATAAGACCTGCTTTCATCAATCTCATCCAGCAATGGGACCTTCAATGGCAAGTTATGTTGTGCTAGGGCTGACTTCTTAACACTGTCAAGAGGGAAATAAGCTTTTACACATTCATATTATATTCAGACTCTAGCAGTATATAAATAAACTCTCTTGGATGTGAGCCTTAGTAAACTCCATAACTTAGACACAAATACCATGAGGCCTCCACACTATTTTATGTACATGTGAGGGAACTGCGGGTGGGGGGAGAGTTTTATTTTACGTAGTCCTTTGAAAATTAATGTTTTATTTAAAATACAAAGAGATTTTCATATCACCTATATAGGCCTGTACCATCAGACCCAGCTGGCAAATGAGTATTAGTGGATGTTTTAAAACATAAGAATTTCTTAGAAATCATGGAGCCTCAAGATTTCCCACATGTCTGCTGTCATCCATCTTGTGAGTCTGCAGTAAATATTAGCTGAGATAGCTCAGGCGGAGCAGACACGATTGTTTAGATTGAGCCTGAGTTAAACGGTGTGAGATGCAGGTACTTGGAGATATTGTCAGCAAATATTGCTATGTCTGGGAGTGGCTTGAACACAGTTCCTGTCTAAAAGCCTTGTGCTGTTCAGACTGAGATAGCAGGACATCTAAAACCTTCCAACTTTCCCGTTTGAAAATCTTGGAAAACTACTTACTTCTCATGAGACAGGGCATACACTGTGAAAGTAGGGTAACAGATTTCCTAGAATCACACAAAAAACATGTATGGGTGTGTCCTGTCCAGCAGGACATTAAACAAGGGTCCGGGGAGGTCACTTGAAAGAGAGCTGGGGGAGCAGGCAAAGAAGAAAGGAATGACGACCTGTCTATAATCTCATCAGATCGTAATTTTTACTTTTGCACACACAAGCTATATACACAAAAAGGCAGGATGTGGGGAAGGGGATGACGAAGGAGTGTGGGTGTACAGGGACAGTACAGATATCTTTCAGAACAGAGTGTCAGCTGGGTGAAGTTTCAGGGGACAGACCACTATGACTCCGCCTATGATTCACTTGCCTTTATCTAAGTTGGTACTATCCACCAAGGTTACCCACCTACAAGGTCTATGACTCAGCTTGGCAGCCTTCCACCAAAGCTGTCTGTTTACAATAACTCCTAGCTATCTGTTTCAGTGTTTTTCCACAGAGACTCAAGACTTGATGCTAGCAGGCATGTATGTCAGGCCTATTGCTGATTTTAGGCCTATGGCTGATTTTAGGCCTTCAATGTATAAGCAGGGCTGCTCCCAACAATTCCTCCTCTCTCCAAACATAGAAGGACTCTGGTGATTCCAATATTGCAAAGGTGGGGATAGAGGCCTGACCTCCAGTAATTAAAGGGGACCTTGTAATGGCTCCGGTCCCCCTGTCATTGTCCAGTGAGGCATGAGCCATACCCATCCCGATGTCTGATGTCTTTTTCCTGGAGAGGGGATACTTTTGACATCAACCCCTATGCAGTCAGGCTTGTTCCTCAGGGAACCCAGAAAGATATTTTTAATTATATTCCCTTGCAGTGCTTAGCCTCGCAGCCTAAGCAAGAATTTAGATCGCCAGTCAGAGGGGGTTCTGGGTGGCCCCTCTCTGCTTGGTCTAGGGGCGGGAGTTCCCTCTTTTAGGTTGAGTGGAGATGGGTTTTGGGAACACCCTGGATAGAGTAAACAACCTCGTCTTGAGTCTCGTGTTCCTCCATAGCTAACTTATGATAATGTATCTGAATTGGTTTTGCTATCAAATTATCTATCTGTTGTTTCACAAATTTAGTAAGCCTATTTAAGGCCCAGGGAGCAAAATAAATAAGCAGAAGTAACCCAAATTAATGGTCCCAAAATTGTAGGAAGTAGGGTTGACAACCATGGAGAGGTTGAAAACCAATCCTTGTACCAGCTCTCATCTTTCTCCCTCTCTTTCTGTCTTTTCTCAAGGCCTTCTTGACATTTTTCATGCTCTCTTTAACCATCCCTGTCTTGTCTATGTAAAAGCAACATTCTTCTTTAAGAGCTGCACACAGTCTAGAGCTGTACACAGTCTTTTCTATTATAAAAGGGTAAATCAAGTCCAATAAAGTCCTTTGCATTTTTGGAGATCATTTCAGAAATGAGGAATTTCTTCAGATTAGTGATGTCAGTCTCTAGCTGTTTGATGTTCTTGTCAATGGCCCATCGAAGGTAAGTCTTGAGGCCAGCAAGATTAGAACTTGCAACAACAAACACCACAGGTGATTCAGTTTTACCTGGAAAGGAAAAAGAAGGGGATTCTCAGGGAGATTTCTCTTCCCTGGATGTCAATTGTTATTCATCTTAATTATAATTGGGCCTGGCTTTGTGGGGGTATCTATTTATTTCATTAATCTTTTGGCAGTTATTTAGCTGTGCCTTCTTAGGTATCAAACAGGCATATCAATCCTCGGCCCCATATGAGAAGTGGGTCCGGGCCATTCCATTTAAAGGTAAGAGGGTCTTTCCACATAACTGTGGCATAGTTTTTGTTGGTCTCAGCATGCCGGAGGCAGTCAGCAGCAGGTTTGCCATGAGCTTTCAGATAGAAAATTAAGAACAAACAAGGCATGATGGAGAATATTTCTGGGAGACTCCTTCTAGGGTGTAACTCCCCCTCTTTTGTTTTTAAAAGCCAATTTATTAGAGTTCTTAGTTAAACCAGGGCAGAAGCGCCAGCAGCCGCTTCTCCCACACTCAGAAAGTCATGAAGACACTATTTTAAAGTTCCACAGTATCTGTTTTATAATACCTTGTCTTTGAGGATTACAAGGAATTTTAGTAACATGGGTAATACCAAATTGTCAACAAAACATCTCAAATGTCTGACTGCAACAGTCAGTTTTGTTTATTTTAATATGATATGGAACACCAAGTATAAGAAGATAATATAAGCAATAACTAATTGTACTTTTGATTGTTTCTCCTGTTAAAGTAATTGTAACTAGAAATATTAAAAAGGTGTTAAATCACATGTACATGTACATGTTTTAATTTTCCAAAATCAAAATTGAGTAACATCTATTCACCATAATTGGTTAGATATAAGTCCTCAAGTATTAACACTATTATGAAAAAATTGAGGACACTAAAACAAATTTTGTAATTTGACTTATATACTCTCTAAAAATATCAAATTGTTGTCTCAAGCTATTATTATTAAACATAGATCTACAAAAATGTACTGCTTTGTGATGATGTTATATAATAGATGACTTTTTAAGTCTTAATGATGATCTTATAAATATTTTTAAAATTATACCTATGATTATTAAGCTCTTTTTATAACGAGACTGTTACTAGATTCCTTTCTGATAGTCAAAACTGTAATAAGAATTTTGTCAGTCTCTCAAATAGTATCAGTTAATTGGTTTTAGATAATAACCAGACTTTTTCACTCAGAGCATATTTTAAAAGGTTATAAAACAATTTGTCAAAGATATTAAAAAGGAACCAACAATTTAGTATAGGTGTTAGGATGGAAAACAAAATACTGTCTGTGCTCATCTACACTAATCTTTACTGATAACCCAGTTATAGTTCTAAGCCCTCAGTGAACCTGTGGAGCCACACAGGTAATGGATGTTTAGCCACACAATCACTTCCAACAAATATGTATATAAACATTCTTCATTATAAACCTTTATTTCAATTTAATTTTTGGTATAAACTTGTAATGAACTTTGTAACGTGAGATCATATATTTTAAAAAATATGTGAATATTGAGGACAAAAGGATAAGAGGGCAAATGTAATGGAAAGATAAAACAGAACTCTTTGTCTTTTCCTAATTAGGATAGTATATAAAATGGAACCTTTTTCCCTTTCTCAAATAAAATAGAAGTTTTCTTTGTACTTTTTTCTTAGATAGCTTTCATAGGAAACTTTTTTACACTTAATAATAAACTCTTTAATAACTTATTCAAGTGACCTCAGACTTGCAGGCATAAGTCAGAGCCCAGCAGTTTTTTTCTGAGACAAAACAAAAGCTGTTTCCTTAATCTTTTGGCTGTTTTTAGAATGAGGTGTTAAATGCCAAAAAACTGCAGTTTCTGGCCTCAAGGATCACAAAAGGCAGATCAGCTACAGTGGCACAGCAATCTAGATAGACAAACTTCTATTATATAATAACCCCAATGTAAAGAGCAAAATTTCATGGCCAATTGTTTCTGTAAGGTCTGTAATCTATCTGATATACAAATTTGTTATGGCATTTTCCTGGGGTCCAGGCAATCTAGTATGAGCTCTTAAATGATACATGGTTTTTAAATTGAACTGTATTTGTAAAATTTGAAAATTAGCAATATCTAAAAAAGAAACAGTTTTAAGCAATTATAAACCACGAGCTATATATATAAATTCATAAGGAATATAAAGGCATATATAGGGGAAAACTGTAGTAAATTGATCATGTATTAAGTCAAATATCAGTATTCTTAAAAAATTATATTATTGTTTGGAATAAGGAGTATTTCATTAAGTTCTTCCTTAAGATACCTTTGTGATCTTGACCTATAATTTTGTATTAACACAGCAACAGTTTTAAAACAGGATGTTAAAACTTCTTTTGGAAATAAATATAAATCCATATTAATAATTTTTTTATCAAAGGACTGTTATAAAACAGCCAACAACTAATTAATCTCTATATATACTATATATATATATTAGTTTCTTTTACTTTTTGTGAAATTACTCTTCTTTTGTCAATTAATTGTTGATGGAAATTAGGATTTGTATCTCTCTTGAGAATATTAAGCAGAGGCTTAAATTCTTTTGTGGAGAGCTTAAAATAAGATTTTAGCCAATTAGCATCTCCCAGAAACTTTTGAAAATAATTTAAAATAAGTAAACTATCTTTCCTTATTCGAACTCTCTATGTCACTATTTATTTAGGAATTCAGCTGATGTCTCAAATATTAAAAAAGATAATGTCTTTGGATGTTTTTAGAGCAACAAGCACTCTCTGAAATTTTTAAAGCTCATTGTATGAGAGCAAAGGCTTGTATTAAAACTCTTCTAGAGCGATCAACTAATAAACCAATTGTGTAACAAAAGGAAGGTGTTCATCAGGGTTTGTTTGATCCCAGATAAAACTCTTACTGAGATCTCTATTATATATCTGGTTTTTGAATGACTTTAACTCTGAATTACCAGTTTTAATCTAGTTTTTAATTACCAAAATTATAAATTTGCAATCATACCCAATAACATACAACCAGGACATATAGAACATATTTATATTTTTTAATACCAATCAAGAATAAAAATAAATGCACATCTAAACAAATTTTTCTTACCTTTTCAGCTGTAATTATAAGAGAAAAGCACCCTTTTCCTTATCTAACTGGGAAGAACCACTATCAATTCCTGGCCTCCTTCCAGGAGCTGCTTATGAAAACAGTTAACTCTTCCCAAGTCTTTCTGCCAGTGCCCCTCTCCCAGCCACAGAACAGGGTAAATTATCAGTTTTTGCTGTGTAAATTGAGACTGCTTCTCAAGCAAGTTTCAAACTAAATCAAGCAAGCAGTTTTAACTAGTTTTTCTTTTAAACATGAAACATAGACCACAACAATCACTCAGACAATGAGACAAAGACATACAATTGACACACATGGACAATATTGGTATACCAATGACAGACAATAGACAGGGAAAGTAGAACTGAGAATCTCTCCTAGAGAGAGCCAGAGAGACTAGGGCATCCCCCAATCATCTCTTGCTTCTCAGGAGGGC